ATCTGTAGTTTTAATTCAATTTTGGAAAATACTGAAAAGAATTTCTACTGCACTAGAGATTAGATTAACCTTATTGAACAGGGGTGTCTAAAATGTATGTTGTGGGAAATAATTTTAACTTCATGTGACAATAGGTGAGATACGGTTAAATATTTTCATTTGCAGACCTGTGGACTCCTTAAAGGTTTCTTACTTGATGATCTTTTAAAATGCCTGGTGCATGAATACATTTGAATACTTGCTGGTTTTTAATTTTTTTTTTTGTAAATATTTTACCAGCCCTTTTCACTGGGTGTCTATATGTAGGCTGAAAAACTACATCCAAAAATGTGCTAGAGCAGGACCTACCCTATAACCTCCCAAGCAAGAAATAGTAGCACCTAGAAATTTTGTTGTTGTTAAATGGTTAAAGGTCATTCTACATGTCCTACTTTTCACATTAAGTATGTTTCCTTACTCTTTAAGCCAGCGTAAAGGTTGAAGCTGTGACTGTGGTGCCAAATATATCAAACCATATATTTTTTAAATCCTGCCTCTTCCTAATGCACTGTTTTTTAAAATTCAACTATTTACTGATAATTCTGCTAATGTGATGCATTTCACTTGCTTTTTAAACAGATTTTCACCCAAACATTTTTCATGTGCTTAAAATTTTGCTCCTTCTTTTGGTTGCATCTAAAAATTAGTCAGCTATGTATTGATACCTTAAAGAGTATGTGGCACACTGGGTGAGCGAAGCACCATGTGGAACTAACTAATATATTAAAATGAAAATTAGACTTTGACATGTTAAAGAAATAAATATGACGTTAATATATGAGAGAGAGATTTATATGTGGTCGTGTATCCTTATGGAGTGATATACTGGAATCTTCTTCACGAAGTTTTACAATATACAGCATTGACTTCAGCACTTACATCTTTTGTCTATAATTAAAGTGTAATAATGTAAATGGTAACCTGAAAATTAAGTTAAATTTTACAGTTGAAGAGCACACGGTGATCTATGTAAAAAAAAAAAAAAAAAAACAAAAAAAAAAAAAAAAAATATATTATCTTCACTTTGTGTATCCTTTTTTTAAAGAGAAAGCACTTTCCTATTAACAACTAGCATGTGAATGAATCTTAGATTCTCATGTTTGTAATGGTCTGTAGATGAAGTGAAATTTATCTTTAACCTATATGTTAATGGATAATCTGATTATAAAAATGTTGAATTAAAGCACCTTATTATGCTGCTTACATTTGCTTGTAATTGCACCTTTTGTTATCTGCATCTTTTTCTTCTTGAACATTCTTGTGTGATAATATTGTTCTCTGCAGGTCTGAGTGGATAATTAGCCAACTACAGCATCATTAAACTTTATATAGTTTATATTTCAATATGACTGACATTGTATTGTGAGTTCAGTGCTTCAAAAATAAATGCTACTTCCACTTGTCTATTTTGATTTTTATTTCACTTTAAAATTAAAAGCAATCAAAGCTGTGAGAACAGGAGAGAAAGAAAAAACATCTGTTCATCTGAGCTATACAATTTAATTTTTTCTTTTAAAATTACCTATAAATTAGCTTCCCCTTTGAAGCATTCCTTTAGCCCTGACCTTTGCTTAGCATTGGTTTACTTCCGCCTTGTTGTTTGACACGATCATGGATCGCAATCCTACAAGACGGTGTGCATCTGCTTAGCATGAGCAGTCTAATTGAACTCTGTGAGACTGCTCATGTGCTTAAGATTAAACGAGGCAAGAGAAAAATCAATGAAAATATATAGATCCCTGAAAATATTATAAAAACTATGATTTTAACTCAGAAATTTCAATCCCATATGAGGATTTTTACAGACCAGTCTACTGAGATTTTTTTTGCATACCTAATTTAAAAAAAAAAATCAAGGCAGCAAAATAGAATGGGATTTAATATAAGAAAATAATTTTAATAGTTCTCTTCCTCCAAGCATCCTACCAGAGAAGGTAGTAAACCCTGCCACCACTGTAGCCACTAAGTTGTTTGGTTTTTTTTTTTCACCAACTGCATAGGTGGGCTAGAGTTAGACAAGCTTTCAAATGCAAGCTTCAAAAGCTCCTAAAGAAAATGTCTTCCATTCAAAAGCTTGTCTATGTCTAACTCTAGCCCATCTATGCAGTTGGTCCAATAAAAGATACCACCCAAAGAAATCCTTGCCCTCTGCATAATTCCTGGACCATCACAGCTATATCCTTCTAACACTACCTTAAAATTTATGCATGTTCTTAATCTTTCCAGGATTAAGATGGTTGGTACCAAATCAAGGCTCTTTCTTTAGTGCTTTAAGACTGTTATTTATTTAGATTTTAAAGCAATCCTCCCTTATTCAAAAGGGAACTTCACCAGAACTTGAACATGGTATCTTTGCATATGATGGATAAATACTTTGCAAGTTCTTTATGCTGCTCTAAACTTTAGGACATTGATGTGGAACTTCGGCACCTCTACTGCTTGAAGACCCTGTATCTGAAGTTCATCCATATGTTCTCTTCCCTCCAGCTGAGAGATATATTATTATTATTATTACAAATGAGAAACGGGGGAAGGCAAGCACTTGTTTTCAGAGTCTGAAGTCGATCCAGTCAAGTACCACATCTGCAGTGGAGTTCAGGCCAAATTCTGCTGACCAATGAAGCTGCCCAGGGAGGAAAATGTCTCATTGTGCCCCTGAGACTCCCAGAAGTCTATTTCTCTGTGGCTTCTCTTATTAATCATCAAGGAAGAGGTAAACTGCAATATCTAGTTTTTTAAAAGGTGCAGCAGCCATCGAGTTAGTGAAAACCCTTGGGTATGGAGAGACCAAATGAGACGACCTTATACCAATATTGGTCCTGTCCCACTAGGAAAAAGACACTGTTTGTACATGGGCCTTATGGACAAAATGTGTAAGTTAAGACATATGAGCCAATCCCCTCACTTTAGAGAGAGAATTAATATTGCTTCATTTATCTCCTTGAACTTAAGAAGTAAACAAGCTGATGTTTCTTAGGTCCAAACTTGGTCACAACCTCGCCTACCTTTTTGGAACGGGGAGATAACTGCTATAACACCTATCTGTGATATGAAGGAACCTTTTGCTATTGGCCCCCTGCTGACAGAGAAGACCTGATGGAGCATTTTCTCATAGGAAGAGTCCTGAGAGGTGGATTTAGTTTCTGTAATAAAATGAATTTGACAGTACAGCTTCTTGTTATTATTACCTTAAGGGTCAAACAATCCAAAACCATTCTGGTCCAAGCATGGATTTGATGGGCCAGGATATAGTGCACCAATTACATATAATACGTATGTTTCTATCATATTACATAGACCAAAATGATTCTTTAGAAGTGGTTCTCAACCAGGGCACCATGGTACCCTGGGGTGCTGTGAGATCCTTTTAAGGGTGCCATGCAATATTAGCACTTAGGTGTATGTATAAACACCTCCAAATGATTCATAAAATAAAACCCAAAGATTTTAAATAGGAAGTCAAAGTGGCAAAAACATTCTGACCAACTGTGGTCTTTCTGAATTCTCTGAAACACAAGAATTGCTCTTATTTTTCCATAGTCAAAAAAATGAGTGATAACAAAGAGCTGGCATTTTCTAAGGAGTTTCTTGAATGAGTCTAAAAAGACTGAGAACCAGTCTCAGGAAAATAAAGCTAACCTAACCATCCAGAGATAGTATTGGGCCAAAGAATCTTAGTTTTGATCCGTGCTAGACCTTAAACCTCACAAGGCAGTACTGAGTGATAAATGCCACAGGGCTCTGGGCTGGAAAAAATAGACACCTGCCTCAAATATAATGCAGTGATGGTGTCAAGTTGGATGCGTAAGGTAGCAAGGGGCCAGCAGTGCTCCTCTAAGCTGCTGTTGGCACTGAGGTTCCTGCATAGCCTTGGGAACTGAGTTGTTCCATCTTAGAGGTATAGTTTCCATTTCTTACCCTCAGCCATCCTCATGGATTCCCATTCAGCCAGTTCTGTGGAAGGTAAAGTTGCTAATGGGTTGTGGGGTGTTGTCTGCTGAACTTTAACAGAGCCCACACTGAAATGTGAGTGCTTGGAGTTTAGAGGAGACAGTATAGCCATGTCTGGCTCTCTACAAGCTGCTGTGAGGTCCCTGTAGTAACATGTCTTGGAACTCGATGGTCTGGTTCCTCCTTTTCCATGTGCTTTGAAATCTTGGAGTTGTGAGGAGGGTGGCAGGGTGTGTATGGCAGGGGAGGGGAAAATCTTCCCTTAGGACAAGATTGATGAAGTAACAACTAGTAGAGTCAAAGGCCTTTGGGCAGGAGCAGTGCTGGCTGATAAACAGTGCTGGGTGGAGCTCTTTGCATTTTCGTCTGACACCAATCAGAAAGATCTATGGAGAAGGAATATTCTTAACTTGATCTTCCTCTGTTTCAAAGTCAGAGCCACAAGTGAACAACAAATATTTATTAGGAATGCGTGCGACTCACCCAGAAAACAGAAGCATTGAGTTAGTATCTAATGCCAAAATAAGTCTTGTGCAGGAAAAGCAGTTTCAAAAATTGAGAAATCCTGGAGGTGGCATCCAGAGAAACCTCAGAATGAGAAAATAAGAGGTAAGGATGACAGGGCCCAGAAGTGAGGCAACAAGTCCAAAATGCTGGCATCTCAGGGCACAGGAGAAAAACTGTTGGGGGCCAAATGTGCATCAATCCAGTCTTAAAATCCACCCCAACCTTCCTGCCTTCAAAACAATGAGAGAATAATAAAAAGAAAATAAATAGAGTAAGGAAATGAAACAATGGTTTCAAGTAATGTAGCCTGATAACTGACAGATAACAGACTCCATTTCAGCCAGGAAATTAGGAGAAGGAAGTATACACAACTCCTTTTTCTTTCCACTTAGCCCTAGGAATATACACCATAGGGCCTGCTCAGGTAAGAAGGTTAACAAATCCATAGCGCAAATAGGGAAATTGGCAATTTTTTGAAGAAGAATCATGAAATATTGTGTGTGCTTCAGGGATGCTGTATTTTTTAAATATATAAAATAAAGGTGCAACTTATTCTGCACAATTGAGGTTTTTGATATGCATTTTTCAGATATGGGGAAGGCAATACATAGGACATTTCAAACACGGAATAACCTTTTATTCTTAATAGCACCACCTAATTTGCTTTCAGTTTCCTTATCAATTGAGAACATATGGGGGGGGGGGGGGGGATGATACATAAATAACGTGTTTATAAAGGTCTTTGGTGCCCATTTTTTAGAAGATTGTCCCAAGTTAAAAAATGCATACACACATTGCATGAAAAGGATAGAGAGAATCAGCCTCCCATGTCAACTCCACTTCTGAGTATACTGAAGCAGCACTGCCTAGAAAGCAGGACACGAGACAGCCTCAGGAGACCGGTCAGCTAGTGTCAAAGCTCCTCCATTTGTTTATACAGTAGCTGGCTAAGGATCTGTTCCCTATGTTGCATATCTAGCTCTTCTACAAGTCTGCTGTGACATGATGGGCAAATCACTTTTCCTCTGTTTCTCTCAGTCTGATTACAGTATTTAGACTGGGGGAAGGGACTAACTCTGGAGATGTCAATGTGACAGTGCAGTGCTGGGTAAGGATACACTGCTGGTGTGGTGTTCCAACCAAACCAATAGATCCTGCTTTCCAGGTGAACTAGCCATACTAATTCACATTCTTATTTTCAGTACACAACCTAGTTCATTCCAACTTGCATCTCACCTCTGTACTGTACTGTGCCGTGCTGACCTACTTCTGCTGTTTATACATTTCCTGAACAATTGCGCTTAGTGGCTATATTGCACTGCCATAATGTATTGTGTTGTTCTGTACACACTGCCATAGCATTCATTCATTTACAACACACTTACAAATTTCCATACTAGCTCAGACCAAAGGTCCATCTAGCCCAGTTACTGCTGTCTGACAATGACAAGGCATCCAGCAACCCTTTTGCAACCCGTTATGAATGTCTGAGTTAGTTCCAGGGAATGATTACAAAATGTTTAAATGGTCATCTGGGTGTGGAAGCTTTCTGCTTCTTGTATTTGCCTCATTATATTTACTTTTTTGGTGAGGTGGAGACAATAAAGTTAACTTTTAATTTTTAATCGTTTCTCCCTCTTTAGAAGAGAAAGAAACTTCAGTTTTTTAAAGAGGAAATTGCTAAGCTTTTCTAGAACAAACCAATAACTAATAAAGTTGTTTAAATCTGTAACAGAAGACAACAATTGTCTTTAGGTTACTGAAGATTTTATTTTTTATGTTTGAAACAAATCTGAAACTGATTAACATTTAATGGTAAAACTAGGCATGTTTTGTTGCTTTTAAGTAGTGGCTATTTTTACCCAAAATTTCAACTCTTTTTTATGAATATTATATATTTTTTATAAATATTATAAATTTAATTAAAACTTTTGCTGTGCATTAAAGTCCCCATCTTTCTGTAAAGCTTAGCTTAGAGAACAGTGCAATATTCCATATTCTAGTGCAATATTCCATTATCCATTGGCAAATTTTGGTGACAGTTTCTTCACAGGCTGCAGTTCTGGAGACGTATTCTTATATTATCCAGCAAGATGGGTTCATAAAAGACATCAAAATAGCACAATCATTAGACACCTCTGTTCCACAGTACTTATTTGCATTCTTTTCACACAGCAGCTCATTAACAGATTACGATTACTGTGCCTGGCTTTTCAGCTTGCTCTGTATTTTGATTGTTGAACGGGATGAAGCAGAATTTCCAGCTGACAAATGGATCTAAAGACCACGTCCTCTCTGTCAGCTTAATGTCATGACACCTAAACCAGTATGTTGTTGCAATAAGAAAACTGTTAATAAAGTACAACCAAGGAACATTCATTTCCATGTAAGCTGGAATCTGAGCCCCAAGCAACAAGATGATCACTTGAAGGAGGACAAAAGGTGCCCAAGTACCAAGAAAGCAGATGAGAAGTCTTGTCAACAGTTGTTTCTTGCAACCAGTGTGATTGTAATCAGACATATATGAAAAGAGCAGAACAGCATTATTTTTAAAAGAAATCATCCTGACTGATCGCACCATAGCTATAACTTCTGACCACCAAGTCACAAAAACCATGCATATGACGAACAGCATGGCTAACGATATCCAGTAACTCTGATCACTGCTATATAAAGGACACTGGTAGACAAAAAAGTTATTTTGTGTTCTGAATTCTGCATAGATAGTTGGAACTTGAAGAATATAAAAAAATCCTGAAATCCATATAAAAACTACAGCAAGTATATAAAATAACCTTTGACTTATGTTGGGAGGCTGAGAGGTTTGATTTATAGTCATGTAATAATCTAGACCAGCCACAAGATAAATTGGGTAATACAAGACACCATAGGTAAAAGAAATTATCTGCGTGAATAAACAAATGTGATACTTAGTAAATCTAACACCCCAAAGTGCAAAGTCCTTAAAATAGGAAATGAATGCTATATTCATCAGAAGTGTGAAGTCTATGAGAGCCAGCGAAATGCAGAAATATCCCATAAAACTCTCTTTTATATTCTGTCTTCTAACTCGCAGCATGAAGAGATCGAGGGAGACTTTTCCAAGCATAATCAGGAGCAGCATACAGCTAGCTTCAAGAGGCGGGTTGACTCGGCTGTAGTGGTAGTGAAGGGAACAATTTTCACAGGGCAGGGCAGCCATTCTTCAAGGATAAGAGCCAGCAAAATAGAACTTACAGGGCACGGTGGTTCACACCTGAAAAGAGGGAAGGAGAATCTTAGAGTATAAGGATTCCTGTTGTAACTCTGCCAATCATAACTTAACGAACAGTCGCAGAGCTAGCACATTCTTGAGAATTCAGTCAAGTCTCTGTTTAGGGCAAAACACTGAAATACCATTTACAGCCACCATTTATAGCAAATTCCTATAGCCTCTGAATACATGTTCTTAGACTTGGAGTTAAGGAATTACTGTAAACTTAAATAATGTTTGTTTGTTTCCATTTTTATTTAGTGATTTTATACGCTAATAACTTAAGATGCGTCAGAATGAAGTTTGGTGTCCATTTGGACTTCTATTTACAATTTGTTTCCATGTGTTAATTCTAATGCAAACTCAGCCTAGGATGGCTTTTTCAGTTGCTCAGCTTGGTAGCTGACCATATAATTTGCATGTCTAGAAGAAAATGTGAAAATTGAAGGGCTCCTTCACTTTGTCTTGTTTGTTATGAACTGTCCCAACCTGGGTGCCTGTATAAATGAATGGGACCAAATGCATTAGACTATGACTTGACTTTAAATAAAGCTACCTATAGTTAACAATCAACATTTTGCTTTTTAAGAAAAAGTAGATTTCTCCCCTCACCCCACCCTCTTGTGAAGAACCTCTCCAATTCCACAGGATGACACTTGGTAGGTAAATTTTTGTTTTGCTTTTCCCTGAGAGAAAAATAGGGGGAGGTTGCTTGAAACCCAATAGCAATCTTATTTTCCATCTTTTTTCTAAAAGCGGCTTTTGATTTGAAAGCAGCCCTGCAGGTGACATCAATCTAAACTGGAGCTCCGTTTTAGGCATTTGAATAATCTGAGTTCTGTCCTTTAATGATATCTGTAACACAGCCTCCTCAAATGCCCATATAATTTAAACTAAAAAAACCTTGTATGTTAGGTACTTTTGAAGAGTTTTGGAGTGATGAGCATTAGTGGTAACTGTCGCACACTGTTGTCAGAGTTCACTACTGATGAGAAAGAAGAGCTATGCTCTTTCAAACGTCTCTCAATTTCTGTCTCTGGGAACTGGAAGTTAAATGCTGCCTCTAAGCTAGAGGTCCCTATTGTCCACAGATACCCCAGTAGACAGTAACCAGTTTGAAAAAGGGAACTTTCATGAATTACCAAAATCTGAGTCAGTAAAAGTGGGTTTATTCATATGTTGAGATTCATTTCAACTCCGCTGATCAACAGATCAACAGAGTTTTTACTGGACCTTTAGTCCAGCTACATTCAGTAAAACCACTCGCTTGAGTAAGGAAAGCAGAACTTGGCCCTTAATATCAGTAGTTCTTTCTTCTTAATGAATTTCTATAGTATCACTTCCATAACTAATTGGACGTTAAATATTTCTTTATCAGTCTTTCTATAACAAAGCTAACACTATTTGCTCAATGGGGTTTTGTTCTATTGTCTCCAATTAATCCAGCCACATTTTCCTTCATCTTTTGTAGAATCCTCATATATTTTTGTCCAGTTATGATAATATGTGTTGTTACAACTTAATGCTGAAATGCCAACTTGTAAAAGGCCGTACTAAGAGATGTCATAAGTATTCAAGAAACTCCTGCTTCTTTTGCAGTTTAAGGGAGAGGGAAAATGTGGTTTATTGCTCCAGTGAGGCAGAGCTACAGCTTTGCATTTTCCCAACAGTAAGAACCTTTGTTGTCTGCTATACTGCAACATATATCAAGTCACATTACATTAAATGATCCAGGACCTAATTCATGGAACATTTTAATTCCGGTGCTTCACCCTTTTCTCTCACCTGCCTTACTGTCCCATTCCTTTTCTCAGAGGTTTTATTTTTGTTCTCATTTTTTCAACTGCTACACAATAAATTATTTTGACATTCCTTCCTTTTTTGGCCTTTTTTAAGTGTATTGCCCAAGCAGACTTGCAAAAGAAAGTAAAAAAGTTTTTACATGCCAAGGCTTGAATAGTGAGGGTTCTGAGGGTTTTTTCTGCAGTATTATTACCACCTGAAGCAATCTGAGACCTGTATTCCTTCATTCTGCTTTAGATACTGGTGATACTTTGGTCCCTGGGTGTAGAAGGAGAAAACCCCATAACTCAAGTCAGAGCAGGAGGAACTTCCCGCGTTGTTTTTTTTGGTCAGGACTTGTTTGTATTTAAATTTGCATCCACAGCCTGCAACTAATATGCATAAATGGAGAGAATCTGTGGACTGCTGTACTTGAGAGCCTGTTCTCTGTAGGTAAAGAAGACATAGTAGGCAGAAATACTTGGGATTATCTTCTGATCCAAGATGTTTCCACCATCTCTTGTGAAAGGAAGAGTTATACAATCATCTGAGCCTGGCATTTCAATATCCATCTGCACTAGCTAAGAGATTTATTTGGGTGCACTAGACATTGCTTTATAGAAGGTTTAAAAGTAATTGTCTAGATGAAAATACACTGTCAACTTTCAAACACATTTAGTCTAGTGGGCTGAGACACAACTTTTTTGGCTCCACGAACTGGTAAAAGCTTTCAAATACAGATGTGAAGAAATGGCTGGACTTAGCAAATGGCCCTGACTTTGTGAAGGCTGCACCTGTACATGTTATTTACCTGTAAAACTTATGTCACTGGAATATACAAGCGAGTGATAGCATTTCAGAATTGCCCACACCTGGAGAGAAGGCTGGGTCTCAATTTAAAAAAAAAGTCTTAGAATAAAATGTCCAGTCAAAAGTGCCTAAACTTACGCAGTAAAACCACATGTAAGCACCTGAATAATTAGCGTGGCTTCCAGAAGTATTTATTATCCAAAAATCCCATTGCCATCACAGATAAGTGTCAGTAGTGTTTAGCTAGAAGGGCAACATATTTGTTCTTGTTTTTAAAACTGCAATTTCACCCCTATCTTTCCCTGCTTCCTCCTTCTCTCTGATCAAAAACTTGTATCCAGGCAGTTGGCAAGTGCTGTTCCATAGTTTTCCTCTGTAGCTCCCATTATCTAAGAAAAGGAATCCTAAGTACCCTGCCACTTCAACTATCCCATCTCTCTTAATCATAGCTGACATCTCTGACCTCGTCTCCATGCATCTAATTCTGCTTTCAGTTTGACTCAATACTGTGCAGAACGGGCAATCTTTTCAAAAGTGAATATACAGCAGTTCACCTTCTCTAATTGCTGGTTCCCATGTGTGGCTATAGCCAGTGCTGAACCTAGACTTCTGGCAGCCCTGGGGCGAACTTTTAGTATTGGTAGTAGAGTAAGAGCAGAGTATTTAGTAAAGCTGTAGTTCAGCCCCTCTTTGCCAGAGATAATGATAATAGTAATTGGACTTATTGCAAAAGTATCACATCTGTGCTAGCGCTGTCTTTAAATAGTTCGCTCTCAATTGACAACATTGCCAGCCCCGTATATGCACAATATTAAAACTTTTTTTTGCAATTGTAATTTTTTTTCCCCATTTTCAGGCCCCCTTTCTGTCTGGGCCCTGGGCAGCTGCCCGGTTCATGGTGTCCAGGTCTGTCTACAGCAGTGGCCTCCAACCTTTTTAAGGAGGAGATCACCTCTGGCATTTAAAAGCAACCCAAGATCTACTGTGCGTCGCTGCCACCTCCCCCACACCCCAGCAGGTCAGTCTGTGGGGAGGGCGGGCGAGGCAGAGGGAGAAAAAATTATTTGGGAGGCGCACCTCCTGAGCAGGTAAATCCTACCCAGCCGGGGCCCCACTCCACTTACACTTACCCCTGCTCCTGCCTCTGTGGCACTGTCCCTCGCCGCAGGGGCCAGGACCTAGCCCCTGTCCCTGCCCCTCCCCACGGACTGACCTGCTGGGCTGAGGGGCGCACACGGGCACGCAGCCCCCCATCGACTCCAAGATCGACCGTGGATGGAGATCCACTGGTTGGTGACAGCCCGGCTATAGCAAAGGTGTCACATGCAGGGCTCCGAGTTTGGGGGCAGGCAAGCAACACTGGGGCCCAGCAGCCACAGTCCGGGTGCAGACCCTGACGGGACGCGTGTGGGCGCTGGGGGCCACCGGGCGCCGGGGCTGAGTCGGACACCGCCGCCCTGCAGCGTTTCTGAAGGGATGCAAAACACGTGCAATGCAAAACAACACGGCATGAATTTGCCAAGGTGAATTCTCTCACCTGCTAATCCGGGGTTGCGGCACCGCCTCCCCCCGGAGCAGCCGGCGCCCGCATCCCGCGCTCGGCGCAGCCCGACTCGCGCCCGGCGCGGCTGCCTGCCTGCGGGGCTCCTCGGCGCGCCTCTTCCACAGCGCACACGCGCGCACCGCAACCCCCCCGCACA